AGGCAGCTGCCTCAAACCATCTTATTGACAGGCCAGTGTAGATACATCTCAATCTTTGTATTAACCATTTTCTCATTGACATTTTTATTTTAACTTTGTATCAAGTCCTTTTAGCATTTTAATAAGTCTTTAGATTTGTTGCATTAAGTCCTTTTAATAGAAACTTTGTACACTTTCATATAGAACACAGAAACCTTGTATTGAGTCTTACACAGAACCCTTGTATCTTGTAGACTTTGTACTCCCTTTTGCTTACTTGATTGCCCTGTTCAGTGAATGAGATGTGAATGGATAAGGCATGAAAGGCAAGCGCCTCTGGGCACTTGTTGGAGAGGGGCTGGAAGAACAATGGGACCTGTGAAGTGGGCTCATTGAAAGATGAAGACATATGGACTCCTTGGGAGTCTGCAGCAAGTGCCTCCTTTTGGAAGCACCCTCTTTGAAGGAGAATGAGGCAGCATAGAGACACTACCCAAAAGAGGGTGCCACAGATGTCTAACCACATATGCATATGATGACTCTCACAGGTGATGCATATGCATGTGATGACTAACTGGTGGAGATCTGCAGGAGAGGGAAGACACTATAAATCTAACAAACAACCACCTGTTCAGTAGAAATTGTGGAGAATGGTCTGCCAGAAACTTTTGACGGTATTGGACTTCAGGGCCATTCAGGAATCTCAAAGTGCAACCTTTCTCCAGCTGGGCTCCCAACCCAAAAGCGCGGGTCACAAGGCTAGTGTAGGGGGGTCATAAGTGGGGTCACTAGCAGTCCAGTTTTTCCCAGTGATGACTTTTTTTTTTATCCTTAGATATTCTTCCAGGCAGGGTTTGGAAATATTAAAATATGTCTGTAATTTTTCCCGGCCTTCAAGCTGGGTAGCTAGAGAGCAGTGGCCACTCTCTGGGCACCCAGTTTGGATGACAGTGCCACTGCCAGCAGCAGGAAACAGGGAAAGGTGGCATGGTATGGTATTGCCACTCTTTCTTCTGCACTGTTGCTAGCGATGGCACTGCCTTTGAATCTGGGCAACAACAGAGCAGTGGCCACTGGTAAGTTGCCCAGCTCAGAAGTCAATGTCATCACTAGCCACAGCACAGAAGGAAGGTTGGAACGATATGGTATTGTCTCCCTTGCTTCTGCACTGCTACTGGTGGTGGGGCTGCCTTCTGAGCTGGGTGGCCAAGTGCCCAACGCAGACAGTAGCATCACTGCAGCACAGGATGAAGGGTGGCATGGTATGTTATTGCCATCTTGCCTTCTGTATTGCTGCTGGTGTTAAGGCTGCCAGTCTGGTGTTCTGTTAGGGAGCCTAAATGCCCATGTTACCACACTTATCCATCCTTCCTTTAAGGCAGTGGAACCAATGGAATCTGCAAAAAAAATTCTGCTAAAATGTTGCCCTCAATCTGCAGAATTCCATGATGATTAAACCTACCTCACAAGCCTTCACAAAAGAGCTGCTTTTGAATGCTTTACAGATGCATTTCTAAATGAAGATCCCTTCAACATGGCAAGTTTGTTAACCTGATTTTCTACTACAGGGTTTCTTGCATTCCAGAGACAGGAGACATTGGGCTAGAGATGGACAACTGATCTGATTTAATATAGCCCTTATTACTACCCTGATAGCCACCTCACTAGTTGTAGGGCTGAAGAATTAAATCACTCTTTTACTAAATTAAATTTACCACTGTGACATTATATAACCTAATTAATTACCCAATGTTTATGAACGGGATTTGGATTAATTTGTTAGTAACCTGTTAAGAATTGCCTTTGGAGAATCTGTCCTAACTTTTTAAAAACTTTTTTATATACTGTAACTGAAACCCCATTTTAGGCATATTGTAATTGGAACCTGATTTTAAACTTTGTATAACTCTGTTAAAAGTTAAGTGTGTGTCAATGTAAAAGTGTGAATGTGGGTGTGTATGTAACGGAATCAGATCCTGAAGCCAGCCTGTCTGGAGACCAGCTGCCAGCACTGCCTTGATGGCTGAAGAACAATGTAAGTGAGACCTGCAGAAGAACCCACCCGAGAAAGAGAAACAAAAGCCCTACCAGGAAAAGAAGATCAAAATCTCATCTACAGTCATACAATGTCCTGGGGCAGTGGGACAGCACAAGATCTATGGACTAAACATATAAAAAAGATTGGTGCAAAACTATAGAATTGGGTCTTTCAGTTCTACAATCATCCTCCAGGAGCAACAGTGAGCACTGACATGACCTGGCTCCCCTCCTCATATCTAGACCACCTAACCCAGTACAGGACTATGTAGCACTTTAAAGACTAACAAGATGGTTTATCTTGTTAGTCTTTAAAGTGCTACATAGTCCTGTATTTTGTTTCAGCTACACCAGACTAACACGGCTACATCTCTATCACCTAACCCAGTGTTTCCCAATTTTATTTGACCATGGAACCCTTTGAAAGAATTTTGCGGAACCCCTAATAACAGTCTAATATATAGAGCTGAAAAAGTAGACCACAAATAAGTAATGATAATAATAAACAAATGCTAAACAAGGTCACGAGAGCAACATTTAGTTTAATTGCACATATTTAAAAACAAAAATCACATTAATTTTTTAAAAAATCATAAAATATTATTGTAATAGAATTTTCTCACTGAACCCTTATTTTCACTTCATGGAACCCTGGGGTTTTGTAGAACCCCATTTGGGAAACACTGTCCTAGTCAATGGAATAACATGAGCAACTGAGGCTGGTAATTCTATCCCATCCGTAGAACTGTGTGTATGTCTGGTGGATAACTTTAGTAGCTAGGGGTAATACGTGAATTCTGCCTTCACAATAAATATGGCATATTGCCTTATCCCCGCAAGATTCTGCTAGTTCTATTTCTAGAAGTATAATATAGTGCCTATCTACTTACTATTGCTAAGACAAACTTTCACTATCCCAGCAGAGAAAACTCAGGGGGGTGTCAGAGTCTAAAGGGTTATTGTGGAGAAAGCACAGACGGAGCCTACAGTGGGGGACAGATGGAGGGAGAAAGTTTTTCTGAGGAGAGATCAAGGAAAACAGGAAGACTTGTTAAGAAGGTGCAGGGTGACACACTGAGTCTGGAATGAGCATGATTCCCGGGAGGGGTGGAACTGAGAGGAACATATACATGCTTACTGACCAGGTTGCTCTAGGAGAGGGGTGGGCAAAAGGGCCTCTGCGCCTGTTTTAGGGCATGTATGATGCTGCACAATTTATTGCCTCTTCCTGGTACTGATAGGACTAAACTTTTTTAGCCTAAATTGTCTGAGGTGCCCTTGTACCTCACCACCAAATGCATCCTTTAGTTAAATATTGAATCATTTCAAAGCCAGGAATCCTATTGTCTGATATCCTCTGATATGCAGCCTCACATCAAAGGAGAGAGTACACTTTGCATTTCTTTGATAACACAGATTGTTGCTTTATCTACTCTAAATTGCTTAGAGACTTGCTTGATATTGTCTTAGCCAGCCAAGACTTTCAGGCCAACAAATATTTTGGGTGTGTAAATGCTATTCCTTAAATTATCCATTCTTTCAGACAGTTAATTGGTTCATGGTTTTATTTGCCTATTTCAGATTACAAATCTCCAAACTCTACTGCCCTTTCTTCATTAGGTCTTCTAGGAAAAATATTTGGCAGCACTAATCCTTAGTGTGAAAAAGACTCTGGCAGTTTGGCACATTTTTAATCATCTGATAAACCAGAGGGGATTTTTTTTTTTTTTTTTAGTATTTGATTCTGAGCCTGAAGAATTAGTGGAGTTGATTTGTTTTACTGGAGCTAGTGTTAAAATCTTATTAGAGGTCCAGGTATTCTTTTACCTTGATGTATCTAGGTGAATCAACCCTGGTTATAGTATCATCCTCACATAGCTACTTGAGGTAACAACCACCTGAGCCTTGTTTTCATTTTACAATGAGACAGCTAACTCAGTTGAAGCAATGCTGCAGCCACATACTTTTTGGTTTGCTCACTGCTCTCTTTAACAGGACCTTTTTCTGCCTCTTGCAGACACACCTCAGCATAAGGACAGTTTGTAGATGAGCACATGCAATTACTAATCTGTTCTTTGGGAACATATTATTAATTCTGGATGCCACAAGAAGTGTCACCTTGTTGGCAACTGCCTCTATCAGGTGAGGAGGGAGTCATGCCTGTGCTAGCTGGCTATTAGTTCCTGACACAATAGCCTGTCAGACACTCAAATACTACCCTTTGGGCTATACCAGTCCTATCTTTGCTTTGCAGTTTGACACCAGATGCACCTCCAGCCAGGTCCCCTAATTCCTTGAAAGTGTCCCCCTGTGGTATCAAGCCCCTGATTTCTGGATACTGCTTGAAAGTTTCATATTCTCTGTGTCCACAGAAATAGTATCCTCCAAGTTTCACGAGCTTCCCATTCCTATGTATCCCACATACGGTTTGAGTTAATTTCATTTTGTTTTATTGTCATTGAAAAGAGTAGACAATCAGAGAAAAACAAGTCTGAATGATGGGAAAGAAACCACATAAAACAAGATAATAAAACACAAACTAGGGCCCTCACTTCTTAATAACTTTCTCACCTGTCCAGTAGGGTCTCACCTTTTGCAGCACATGCAAGCCCCAAGAAACTAGAAGGACCCAGTTTTTCCATGAAGCACTCCCCCACTCATCAGGGAACCCCCTCAGGGAATGGAACCAGAAGAGTATCCATCATGTGATTTACTGAATCAGTCTTTTATCTTTATTCATGGTCAGAGCATTCCTGTTTTCCAAATACTTTCAATGCTTATAGTTTGCCTTTGATGGTTTTCCACTTACTTCTGTGGGTTGGTGCAAAGGTAGACAATTGAGCAATACATTATATAATCAGCTAGCCAGAGAGGGCTGACAAGTCCTTTATGCTTGAATGGGCCATTAC